TTATATATATATGCAATTCAGCTATTCATGAATATGTCAAGGATTTAGATGATTCTCAATGATTTGGTAATTTACAGTATAAAGAGATGCTGCCATATGCATGCTCTTGATTTCCCTACTAGCTAAGGACAGTTTTTGGAGGGTCCATCTCTTGCAACATTCTTTAAATCTACATCTGTTTATATAGTAAAGATAATCTACATACTTATTTACAGGTTTTAAACATTTGGGATAGGGAAATAAATAAAATATATGCCTAAGTTTTATCCTGACTTGTAAAACTAGATAAAAGAATCATGTGCTGGGATGCCTGAATAGCTCAGTCAGTTAAGCACCCAACTCTTGATTTTGGCTCAGATCATGATCTCAGGGTTGTGCGACTGAGCCCTGCATTGGGCTCCGTGCTGAACATCGAGCCTGCTTGGGATTCTCTCTGTCTCTTTCCCTCTGCCTTCCCCCACCCCCCCCACCGATAGAATCACGTGCTATCTCAGAACAAAGTGAGTTTTTATCCTCTATCTAATGTCATATTCTTGTTTTTGAATACATGCAGCTAAGTGGGAGATTTAAAATGGACTGACAAATAATCTTGCCTAATACAAATACTATTCAAACAATATGATAACAAGGAATTTGGGAAATCCTCCCCCAACTCCTGTAGTAGTTGCTCAAATTAAGTAATGCTCTCCCCATAGGTGATCATCACAAAGCCCAATATTAGCTTTAGCAGACTAAAGTAGTCCTTGGTATAGTCAGAATTATAGCATTGTCTTGAGATCTAGCAGCAAGAATAGCAAGGTGTGATTTGAGGTGGGTAGTGGGTTATTTCTTGAAACTTGTGCTTTTAACACAACCATTTAAAAATCAACAAATTCAGGAGACACATAATGGAACAAAATATAATGCATGAATCCAGGTTCATTAAACTAATGCATTTTTTGAAAAACAAAATATGACAGAACATTTCATTATTGACGCAGATAGGAGAAAAAGTGTTAGGCTGCTATTTAGAATGTGTCTTGTGTGTCGTGGAATTGAAATATTTCCAAATCATCAATAATTAAAATGATGAGAATCCATCATTTCACTGACATTTACTTCTACATGAAGAGATGGCCTATTTTAAATGTGCTCACACATATTCTTGTCAATCACAAGCTGTCACAGCAAATTATTTCATTTTGTAGATCACATGGCAGTTAGCAGAAAATCTCTAGGTTTAAATTTAGATCTTAGGTGTAGTATCAAGAACACTTTTTATGGATTTTTTTCTGTGATTACATCTTTGCAATACAGTATATTAAAGATATAAAATCTTATTCATAGTACTCAGTTTCACTTCTGGTTAACAAAACGCAGGACTGAAATGAATCACTGTAAATGACAGCTCTAAAAGCCAAATAGTAGAATAGAATATACATAAAAGAATGAAAATATAAAACTAAAAAAATTTTTAAACAATCAGAACCCCATACAATGGAATTTGGATCTAATGAGTTAGGTCCAAACAGTTTTTTTCTCTCATCTTCTTTAAGACATTTAAGCAATTGCCAGGCATTTCTTATGCTAGGTTTGCACTGCCTACAGCTTCTAGCAGTTATAAAGGAGCTAACCTCTTATAAACCCCATGAATCAGATGTAAGAATTTTCACTGTGCCACCATTAAAGAAGATTCAGGAAATGGTGAATAAAACCTAAAGTGCATGCCCAAGGATCTGAAAGCTTTTAAAATGCCTCTTCAAACAATTCGTTAACTACATCTTCACAATTCTAACAGAATCATTAATAGATTTCAGAATCTTCAAATGCCAGAATTATATGACCTAATCAGACAGTTGATCTTCATCAGCAGTCTTTATTAAAAAGATTCTATTTTCCCCATACATAATCTTCTGCTTTGGCATTTAACTTCAAAATGTAAGAATTATTCTAATACTGCATTTCAACAGGGAATGCTTCATGTCAGTCTTGACCTTGGCTTGACCTCTATAAGAAAGCTTTGTGTTTCGAGGTATGTGATGAATAGCTCTCTGGCTTTCTATTAAATCCAGTGGCACTGTCAACAGTGGTACTCAAAAGGGGTAGTAAAGTAGTTAAAAATCAGAAATATTCCTTAGGTCTTTTTCTACCCTGGTAAATCTGGAAATAGTCTGAGGCAATTTTCACTATCTACACTGCTTTTCCAAAGAATAAGAAAACAATGAAGTATGGAAATATAATTGCCGAAATATACATAGACGTATTTGGCCTTCCTGTAGCAGAAATAATGTAAATTTTCCTTTGGAGGACCCATTTGATTTACGTTGTTGAATAGGGTTTTCAGTTTTAAGGATTTATAACTTACTCAGTTTAAGCTCCTTAAAGACCAGGACTTCTATCCCTAACTCAGGACTGCATACATAATAGATACTTAATAAAATACTTACTGGTTTACATTTAGATCAAACTGAATTAAACTGAATTTAATATCAGAGATATTTGATAAAAAAGAAGTCAGACTATAAGCCCCTTTTTTCATCTCTCTCTGAACTGGCCTAGTACCTGGCACATAGTAGGCTTTCAATGAATGTTTGCTGAATGAATGAAAATCTTTATATTAAAGTAATGACTAATTACTGACTCTAATGCCTGTTGCTTAACTGCATGTAAAATATTCATGTTCATGTAGAAAGATACAATAGTAATACCCAATTTTGCCAGCAGTTTTCACCTTATTTATGTTTAGAATGCCTCCTTACTCTAAATTTATCTACCACCTTCGAAGCTATTCATATGTGTCTTATTTTTATGGTACATCATCGTAAATTATTGATTATCTATAAAACACATGCAAGAAAGGTAATTTTAACCTGATTTGAAAAAGTACATGTGAATATGTGGGATATATATATATGAAATCTTCCCCACACTTCTCTCAAAATATTTAATTCAAGTTAAAGACTATACTGTGTATAGATAATATTTATTTACATTTATATTCTTAAGGTTCTGGAAGAAACCAAATATCAGCCTTTAGACTTACAGGCTTATCTATGAGCTTAAGTTAGACAAGTGGCTTTTTCCCATTATACTTATCCTAGGTCTTTTTAATGGACATGTGATATGCTAGTCTGTGTCCAACCTCACCTACAATTTCTTTTCTCAAAAGACAAGGCACATCTGCCACCTGCTCTACTCCGTGTCCCAGCAACAACTGTCGAGCAGCATAAAGATTGATTATCAGTCAAAAACCATTGCACAACACCAGATTTTGGTGGGTTAAGCTTGCTGATCCAGCAAGAGATGGTGTGAAATTTTCAGGAGTGTGTGCCAACATTTTGGTGCTAAAAGAACAGCAGTGCATGTCACAGTGAAACACAGCCAAAGATATGCAGACAAAGCAGAGAAGTTTTTTGTTCTGGACTTGGCTTTAAAAAAGGATAAAAGAGAAAACAAAAAGTAGGAAGAAATTAGTTTGTACATTTAAAAATCATCCACCAAGCTAGTCATGTGTGTAACACTGTTATTTTAAGCATACATGTCCAGAAAAATTTCTAAGAAGTTAACTATAAATAATTTTTATAAATCTCTTCTACAACACCATTATCATATGAATGGCAAGTATTTCTTATTAATAAAAATAATCAAGGATCTTAAGGAAGCACTCATTACATATACATTTAAATATACAACAGTCACAGAAACATTTACCCACAAAGACACATGCTTTTATAGAAGATGATTTATACAAATGATTCAATGAATACAAAATAAAAGCAACCATAGTTTAAAGTTGAATCAAGATTTGAAAAATATATGGGTCTATACTCCCACATAGGTAATTTTTAGTGAGTACTATAGCAACAAGTTTCTTTACCTTGAACTTTCTACTGAATTCAAGAAATTATTTCCTGATGATCAGGTATTTTGAAAGAGAGAGAAATCCTAGTTTCATCTTATATAATAACATTAATATAGGAAGAATTTTCATCACTTCATCTGTAATGAACTCCAGAATTACTTTTCTTCCACTTACGCAATTACTGCCTAGACTTGTCCTTGGTTCACCAGCTTTGTAGCAGTTTCAGGAAAAAAAAATACTTCTAATAAGGTAGTAAAAGTACAGGGGAATACAACAGTTAGAGACACTGAATTTGTATGCCAAAGTTCTTATGTCATTTAAATGTGATTACCATTTATAGCACTTGATAACAGACTATGGTATGACATGTTTGTAAGAATATTCTTCGATAGTACTTTTCTTTCTTTCTTAAAATGAATTCTTTCCCACTGAAGAAAGAAAAATGTTTGTTTTATTTTAGAAAATCACATTTCTGAAATGCTAGAAACAATGGACTTTTTAAAAAAAGACCTCACCAGCAAATATGTCTAAAATACATGTTTATATTTTGTGTATATAATATTATGTATACATATAAATATAAATTACATATATATATATATATATACACACACACACACACACATTTCAAGGTTTAAAAAGTCAAGCTGCAGCATTTACTTTATGAAAAATTTTATTAGGAAAATCGCATGTATATGAGAATTAAATGTTCATTCTGACCACATTTTCATAGTTATGTTAATGCTCTCTGAAAAAAGACCAAGAGTGTAAATGAATAAATGCTATTTGAAACTTTGAACTATTTTCTGAGAGAATAAATCTAATGAATTATGTCTGTTGGGTGTCACAGAAACTAAACAGTAAATTCAATAATCTCTGATTTAATTTATTATATTTTCACCATTTAACCTCCTGCAGGCTCCCTAATGTCTATTCAGATCTATATTAAATTAAGCACCAATGCTAATGAAGGGCAATAAACGTGGCTGTCAGTGGATTTTTCTTTCATTAAGCACATTATCCTCTTACTGAGCTGTAAATGCGTAAACATTAGTTTTGTTAAACCATGCAAAAAAGACAGGATGAAAATCATTTTTTAATTGCACCCCTTAAGCAATTTACTGGGGGTGGGGGTAGGGTATTTTTTTTTCTTTTTTACCTTTAATTTTTTTGAATGGATCTAAAAAGGGCTCTCCTGTTGAAACATAAACGTCGGCTTCATGGGGTATATCTTCAGGTTTGAGGGCTTCAGTGCCGTTTGCCAAGAACACTCGTCGTGCGGCCATGTTCAGATTCAGCTTTTCTGTGCACTCCTCCAGCAACTAGAAGAAAGCAGGCAAGAGGTAAGAGAAAGTGATTTAGGACAAAGAAAGCAACACATTGCCATGAAACAAAAGGTGCTAACAATGAAAACAGACACCCATTGAGTCACTGGCCAAGTTAAGTAACTCAAGTAACTCCACCAATATATTTTCTAGCACTTGAAAATATAAAATAAAAGGTAAATCACAGCACTGAGACTATCTAACGATCGTCTAATTTTAGTCCTTGTTCTGTCTGTTTAACAACTCCACAAGATATAAAGCTATTCTGTTTAATTCAATATACCACTTATATATTGATAAAAAAAAGAAAGGAATAAAATACCTGTGAGATCTATGTATATATAAGCATTTTACAGATTCATTACTAAAAAGAAAATTTTAACACAATAAACATCATCTTTTTCATTTCTTAAATTATAAAAAGAGTAAGGGAAGAAATAAAGCACTGAAAACTTTTGAACACTATTTACCAAGGTGATGGTTGGTACTGTAACTTTGGCAAAGACTGCTCTAGATCCATTTTTGTAAGCTGTTACTGTAATCACTCTGGGATGAAGTTTGTGACTTTGAGACAATCTATGCCAATTCTGGGCTGGCTGAAATTTTAAAGAAGAGAACTCTGCAACTCTGAAGGAAAAAAACCCACAAAATTGGTGCATGTTAATTAGTAAAAACATTTAAATAAATATTATCCTAGACATTTTGTATAGATATAAGCCCTAATGATTGTTCCCAAGTATTCCTCAAAAAAACTTTTTATAGGCTAAGATTGTCCATATCTACTTAAATATTTTTAAAAATTTAACACAGGATAAGTTTGCTAAAACTGTTCATGTAAAACACCTATCTGAGAATAGATGATTTTTTATCAGTTAACTTATAAAACACCACAACCCTCATTTAAAAAATCATATGTATACATGCTGTGTTCTGTTAGAAAACAAAAAACAATAACATAGTCCTAACATCATGAAATAGTAAATGGCTAAGATCTTCCCTTAAGTTTTCATGTTTACCAAAGTTCTTTGATTTTTTAAAAAGATTTGAAATTCAAATAGTTTCTTACTCTAAGTTTCTTATTCTAAAGTTAGTTGTAACTGCTTTCATCTCAAATTTGTTTGGGGGTAGAAAGGGAAGATTTCTAAGTTTTGTCTTCATTCAAAATCAGTTTCGATTCTTATTATTTTCTCAGCAAAAGTACATGACAAATGACTAGCATGTTGTATTTTTCTTCAGAGTTCTCTAACCCTGTAATTCTTAATGCCACAGAAGCAAAGTAAACATTTTGAAATAAAAACTTCAGGTAAATTAAAATCACAATATACCCACCTAATCAAATATATGAAAATAATGGGAGTATCAGTTTCTTGGTTTGATTTTTGCTTTTGCCAACATTTTCTTCTATCCATAAATTCTTAGGTTAACAGTTTATGATAACAATCTTGATATGAAAATATATACACAAAATGGTTTTATAAGTCCATTTCATTTTGATTTTATTACAAAATATTGATTAAATATCAAAAGTATGCATTTTGATTTTAAACAAATATCTGGTAAACAGATATTCTGTAGTCCTAGCCTGATTCTCCTTCAAGTATTTTTTTCTGAGTTTGATTATTATCCACATTAAAGTGTATCTCATGTTTTCCACAAGTGTAATTAGCAACATTCTACTCAGGTGTTTTCAAAGAAAAAATGAACAAAACAAAAACAGAAACAAAACCCTAGAGATGTGTTACATTTTAATGTCTGAAATAGTCAATTGAATCATTATAAATTCTGCTCAAAGGAAAAAGCTTCAGCAGTCGGTTAAAAGAACAGAGAACAGCTTTGATTACCTCAGTTGACCCACTGGAGCACTGACAGGTCTGTTTCTCTTGGATGCTGATAAAAAACAAGAATTGTTTTTACTGTTTGATTTGTAGCTATATGGGTCTGATATTTCATCATGGCTATGATCTGATGCTGTTTGATGTGTGGAGCAATCTTGAAGTCCTGACCCTTCTGATACTGCTGCTGAATGCAAAAGTCTGTTGGGGCCAAACTGCAAATAATCTTCAGTAGTTTTAATAACTGCTTTTGCCTGGGATGACATAAACTCTCTGAAAGAAACAATCCATGGAAGAATACAGTGAATTGATTTGTAATTACTTATTAACAACTACCCCATAACTGGTTGTGTGCTATGTGCTAGACAAAATACTACACACTGGCCAGTATTGTATTTAATCCTTATAACATCCCTGGGAAGTGGGTACTATTTGTATCCCCATTTTACAGATTTAAGAAGTTGTGGTTCAGAGAGACAATTAACTTGCCAAAGTTCACATAATCAGTAAGCTGACAGGGTGAGAAACTGAACCTAAGCCTGTACTAAAATAAAGCCCACATTCATAACCATTAAATTGAATTGCTTTACTCTATTAAAGAAGAAAGCTTGTGTAATGCTTGAAACAATGCAAGTAAAATTTTTAAATTCTTAGATTCATTTATTAAAAACTAGCACTCTGCTCAGTATTAGGAAATATAAAAGCTAAAGATATGTGGCTTCTACCCTCAAGAAACTTGCAAACTATCCCCTAATAAAGACAGAATATATGTTAAGTAAGCCACTTAGAACTATGGGTATGTATTAACTATAAATGCAAAACAAATTCCTTGAAAGCAAACTTACATTGTCTGGAATAAAGTTGATAAAGGCTTCATAGCAGGCTGGGATTAGGGTGACCAACTCATCCTGGTTTGCTCAGGTCTGCCCAGGCTTTGGCAATCAAAGTCACACACCCCAGGAACTCCCTCAGTCCCTCAGTCCCTCAGTCTCAGACAAATTGGGTTGGTTGATCACCCTACCTGGTAGTTAAGCTGGAGGAGTAGCATTTAGATGAACTATGATGTTTAAACAGGGGACCATATGACCTGTGACAATATGTAAATCTATGTAAATACCAACTTAGGAAGATGGAATATATAGAGAATTTGCTGGTATGATAAAATGAAACAAGCTTTAACATATTTAAGAATATTGAGCTGTGTGATGATTAGGCATAGAGGATAGTAAGCTTCCATGTATTATTTCAGTATTCCATGTATTTGTATTTTTATACAAACCAAATCTGCTTCTGTCCAATTTGCTAGTTCCTCAGTAGTTCTTATACATAATGTAATATAACCCCACCCACCCGTGCAATTATAAAACAGCATATGCTTAATGTGGAAAGCTTGGCACAGACAGCCTCTCCTCCAGTTTTTTCTAACCCACCAATGTCATTACAGTCACAATTATTTCTCCTGGCCTGTCCTCTCTATGTTCACAAATGTGTAAAATGGTTGATTACTTCCTCTGAAAGAATGGAAGGCAGTCACGTGCCACGGGGAAAATTGGTGTGGGTGTGTGGATGAGAGTTGACACAGTGCATCAATAAAGCTAAAACACTGGGATCCAAGCAGTTGTATTTGTTGTTATCACATGTTTTCTATCCAAGTCTGTCCTGAATTGACCATAGCTCTATGGTCTTCCCTCTGCTCTGAGGATCTACCCAGGCTCAGAACTTTGGTAAACAGCCTTTTGAATTATCGCTGGACTTGAACTCTGGCAGAGGCGAGACCTCCCTTCAGACCACCTGAGGTACCTCAGATTTTAACAACAACCATGGTGGCGGCAGGTGGCAGCGGTCAGGTCTCAGTGGCAGCGTTTCTGCAGCACCAGCTGTGGAACTGCAAATGGTCACCAGGCTTTTCAACTTAGGGGAAGAGCCGCAAACAGGCAGGAGGAGAGATCTGCGGATCTCAGACAGTTCCCAGTGCCCATAAAGAGTCACTTGGAGGGGCGCCAGGGTGGCTCAGTCGTTAAGCGTCTGCCTTTGGCTCAGGTCATGATCCCAGGGTCCTGGGATTGAGCCCCACGTCGGGCTCCCTGCTCAGCAGGAAGCCTGCTTCTCCCTCTCTCACTCCCCCTCCTTGTGTTCCCTCTCTCGCTGTGTCTCGCTGTATTTTATTAAAAAAATAAAATAAAAAAAGTCACTTGGAAAGCAAATTCTCATATAAAGAAAGAAAAGGAATTCTCTACATAATGCAGATTGGGTGTCTTTTTAAGATTTTATTTATTTATTTTTAAAAACTTTTTAAAGATTTTATTTATTTGAGAGAGAGAGAGGGAGCATGAGTGGGGGGAGGGGCAGAGAGAGAAGCAGACTGACCCTAAGATCATGAGCTGAAGGCAGACACTTAACCGCTTAACCCACCGAGCCACCCAGGTGCCCCGATTTTATTTTTTTTTGAAGTAATCTCTACACCCAGTGTGGGGCTTGAACTCGTAGCCCTGAGATCAAGAGTCACATGCTCTTCTGACTGAGCCAGCCAGGTGCCCTGTGTCTTTCTTTTTTAATGAACACATTTTGTTTATTGTCAAATATTTTTATAAATATCCTCATGATTTTATATGATAATCCATTTTCACACCACCAGAAAGTGAAAGGTTTTTATTTTTTCCAAATTTCAAAGTTTCAGCTGTATTGATGAGAGGGCAAAAGGCAAGCTGAGGGCAAAACTGGAGCTGACACCCCACAAGCCCCACTCCCCTTAGGGTGGGATATGTGTAACATTCCTCAGGCACTGTAAGAACAAAGATAGGGAGAAACAAATTGTCAACTGATAATGATCGCAGTCATGCAGGACAGGAAACTCCACTATTGTTTGTAACTGTCTTAATGATTAACAAGAAAAACACAATCTTAATAACAGCCAGACCTCCAAGAACCTATAGACTCAATGTCCTGGAGCCCTACCATCACCTTCACTTCCATGGGATAGAAAACCCTATATAATCAGTCACTTCTCACAATCACAGTGCAGCCCTTTCTACCCACGGGTCCTGTCCCAGTGTGCTAATAAAAACATCTTTTTGTACCATAAAATGCCTCAAGAATTCTTTCTTGACCATTTTGCTCGATGACCCTGCATTATGTGTCACACTTTTAATTCAGTATCTTGCCTTTTTTACCTAAATACTGTCTTATAACCATTTTTCAGGTTGCTATACGATCTTTACAGATTTTACTAGAATGTAAATTTTATCAAGTAATTTTACTTATATCTTGCCTTCCTCAATCTAGTCATGTAAAAGTTATTTACTGTTTTCATCTGCTGGCATATCTTCCCCCTGTCTTCTGGTAAGAGCATTGGAATCCTTTAGGGAAACTCGCATCCTTCTCCCTCCCAACTCCACATGATTCTGGTAGGGTTAGGACAATAAATTATATGAGATTTACCTGGTAAATGGTTAAAAGAATTAAACTAAATTATATGATTTTACCATATTTATTTATTATTGGTTTTTCTCTAGTAATTTATATCAAAAAGGGGGAGAAAAGGTAGTTTTTCATGTGAAAATGTCGCTTTTGGCCCACCATCTGTATCAGTTCTGATTTGTTTTATCAATGCTGATGACAGGTTTGCACTAGTTCTTACACACTATTAAACTCTTCTTTCTTTTAACAGTTGATGTGTTGCCTAGTCTTTGGGTGTGAGAAGATAATCACAGAACTGTTTGGCAAAGCTAACTTGTCCTACAAAGGGAATTAAACCCATACACATGGTTTGTTAAATTAATGCTGGAAATGAGGGTGTTAGGACCATTCAGCTCAAACACACTTGGGTTTCAGGTGACTGAGCTTGTTACTAGTATACACAGAAACTTAAAAAAGAAAATAAAACCACTCCAGCAGGGCACAAAGAGAAGGCCATTCACTGCTCTTCAGAATATACTAGTGACTTAAAAACAACTCCCATAGTAGTGATTATTATTGTAATAGCATTGTCTGGGAACAGATGGTAGCTATACTTGCGGTGAGCATAACATAATATATAAACTTATCCAATCACTATGTTGTACACCTGAAACTAACATAACATTATGTGTTAACTACACTCAACTTAAAAGACTAAAAAACAAGGACCGCTGTCTGGCTCAGTGATTCTTGATCCCTAGGTCGTGAGTTCAAACCCCATGTTGGGCATCAAGGTTACTTAAAAAAAAAAATTACAAAACAACAACAAAAACCACAACTCTAGTAGAGTGCCACATTTTTTGACTCCACAACCTCATCTATCCTTCTATGCCTAACTGCTTCCTCTTCTTACATCATTATTGCCTAACCTACCTCTGTTCTTCTCAGTCCTCATGGGTTCTGCTAATTCCTCTATGTATCTCCCCATTTCTATACCACACTACTTTCTGATGACTCTCTATGACTTACATTCAATGCCCCCAAAAGTTTAACTGCATCACTACCCAGTTTAGAATTCTTAAGCTAGGCAATCTCATAAGCCACTGGCAAGCCTGTGGATGGGAAAGTACCTGTCAGTGGCCCAAAAACTATGGACAGGAGAGCAGGATAATAAGATGAAGAGGGCTTCGAGTAAGATGGACTCTCAGATGCATGCCAAAAGAGGAAAACATACTTGGCAGGGGAATTGCATGGCCTGTCTCCTATACCAAGATAAGCAGAGACACTGCATCGTGTGACTGGAGAGGTGGGCAAAGGAGGTAGCTCTACATTAGGAGCCCTGAACCAGCAGCGCTCTTTAGCTAATAGAACTCTAACGTGTAGACTGTATTTAAGTCACCACAATTGTAGTCTCTTTGTCTTTCTTTCTCTTATTCTCCTCACCTTTTTTCTTTGAAAGATCCTTTTGCCTCCTCTGCAAAAATTTCTTAGAAATCCCATGACATTCAGAATTATTAAAGTGAACTTCCTTCCACCTCCAGATTTATATATATCTTCACATAGCTATCTTCCCCCCAAAGTCTTCGCCTTCTGAGAATTGTACTCTACATTCACATAGTTATCTCATTCACCAAGAAGTTTTTGTCTTTTAATTGAGAATTTGGCCTATAATCTTACAATTTGTTTTCTATTTTTCCTATGTATTCTATGTTCCTTTTCATTCCTTTCTTGTTTTCTCTCAGATTAAATAACATCTTTTTTATTATTTCATTTTCATTTCTATTAGGTTGAATGTCCTACATTGTTTAACCTTACTTTTTATGGAAACACTAGCTATTACAATATGAATCTTAATCTTGTTAAAGATTAATTTAAAT